GGCCTGTCTTTTCGTACATTATTGGGCCGTTTTCGCTTCACGTTTGTAATCAGTCTAACTTTGCGCTGGGGTATGCCGAGTACTTTTTCCGTAAAATACTCGCGCGCAAATTTGTTCTAAAAGATCAAAATATATTTGAGATAATAGGCACAAGATACGGAGAAATTCTATTATGATAGAGTTGCAAATACTCTCGATGACGTGTATTTTCAAGATACGAAATTACTACCAAAAGTAATTAAAATAGAGTATCTTGCGTGCAGTATTTGAGATAAGCACAACTCTAAAGATAATTCACCCCTTATTTTTACCCCATTTTATGTTGATTTTAGGTGGCATATTTCTCGGAATATTACTGTAAACGAATTCCAGAAATTGACTTCTTAAAATGTATATTCTATATATATATATATATATATATATATATATATATATATATATATATATATATATATATATGTAAAAAATTCCAAATAAAAAAAAATCGAATGCCCAGTTTTTTAATTAGTCTTAAGAACGCTCCGATTCAGTGTCTCGTATTCACTGGCTGCTACACTTTTTTTTTTTTTTTTTTGCGTTGGCGTTGAAAATTAACAGACAACGAGCTTTGACCATGCCCATTTTGGATCAGCAAAATTGTTACCCTTTCTAGATGATAAGCTGATGTCGCACGACTAGAGCTCTGGATAGCACACATGTGTACTTTATGTGTTAGCTTGTAGGAACGCGGTACTTAACTCTGTAATACTCTGTCTACAATATTTTACAATATTTACATTAGATGTGCGGAATCCATGCACGGTAGCAGTGATCGCAGAGAGCTTATTATGTCCCGTCGATCGTTCCGTCTGCTTTGCTGGTCCCGCCGCACGCGCCTGTCCTTCTTGCCTTCTACTCGCACTGTGGAAATGGGCCCCTACAAGCTCAATCCGTAGATATTCTAGCGTTTCGTCTCTTAGGAACAACAATTTCGGTGGTAAAACTGAAAGGTTGTCGGAAGGATGCTGTAAACACGCGAGGTTCAACTCCATATATTTCACAAACTCAAACTTGTACACCTCGCCCCTCTTCTCTCACTTAAAAGTATTTCGTGCCGTCACCGTACTTGGGTGGGACGCTATAGCGCTCGCGCTGCATGCGGGTTTTTACAGACTCGCAGCGGCCCGTGCCGCACATACCAAATAATATTTTACTGTTCTCATTTACCCATTATGCGCTCTATCACACAATATACTTTATGGCACCTCGGCGGAAAATTGCTTTCGGTGTCGGATATCTTTGGCATTTTTTCTTTGTTCGGGTAACGTTTGGTTTGCTTCTCGAAGAATAAGCACCTCCTTGGAATAATTGTTTTCAAAATTCTTAACATATTGAATACAAAAGACAACAAACTTTATGTAGAAAGTTCAGTGTTACTATAAAATATTAAGAAAAAAAAATACGGCATTCGATAGATATTACTTTTCTTATTTGCGTGCAATAATGGACCTTTTTCACATACCGACGGCACCAGGCGGTGGCTGCACGAACTAAAAATCGAGGAAGTGACCTACCTGCGCTACCAATCGATAATGGGAGCTACGCTACCAGTTTCTTCGCTCTCTGAGCAGCGGCGCCTGCCCAACGGTGGCGTCCACCCAAACGTCGTGTTTTCCTTTCCGTCGACGTTCTTTTTTTTGTGTAACACAATTATATATATGCTGCAGTTACGTGTTCTACTCGCTGATATACAGCCTCCTTCCGAATTTCCTCGATTTTTCGTTCCGACTTCCGCCGCTTGGCATCGGGCGCTCGCGCGTGCGCAGAACGCTTCTCGGAAAAGGTCCATTGCTAATGAATGAGCTACGGCCTTCGGGTGTAGTGCAAGTTATTTTACTTCCAATATCCAAATTACTTTATTCCTAAATAATTTCACCCTAATTTTTATATAGACATGTTATGAGGACGAAGAGGGTTATGAAAGTGAATAAACTCAAGCTCTATGCGTAAATAGTTTTCGATCAATGACGCCCCTTAAATATTTGGTGCGTTAGAAAGAAAACGTTAGGGCGCTTAATCTCGTCAGGTGGGGGATGTTGCTTTTGTGCACGAACGCTAGCGCACATTTATAGTCTATTACATAACGAGTGATTTTCACGTTTGTAATTATCCAGGTTGTGAACCCCTCTCTCCTCTTATTTACTGGTGCATATTGTTGCTGAGAAGACAAAGGGAGCGCTCGGTAAGCGTCCTCTACGTGCCAAGACGCAAGGCTCTGCCGAGCACTTCGGCGAATTATCCTGTTGGCATCGCTCACTCAAACAACATGTTGTAAAATTGAGTAACTGTTGTTATATACTAATAATACGTAAAAACTACGATATGTTAGCTTAAAACATCACTATTTATATACTTGTGGCTGCTATAGTAACTGAAAAGATTTAAACGGCAAGACGTCTCTTTCCGAGGCCCGACCTCCAGTACGCGCTTCTTGCCTTCTGTCGTGCTTTGACTGCGCGTGCATGCTCGATGCTCACGAGACGCTAAAGTGTTAGTGCAGATAGGAAGGCTCGCGCTGGAGGCTTAATAGTTGAGCGATTTCCGTTTTGTTCAGGTCCTGTCAGTGACGATACCGAAAGTCTCTACGGCACGCGAAATAATTTGTCATCAGCAGTATGTATCTAACGAAAGTGAGAATATATTTTCATATTCATATGCCCTTGAGCGAAATCTAGCAGCTTATTGTCCCCAAGTGTTCTATGGCTGTAAATATTAAAATGAAATTTCATATATTACCAAATAAACAAAGAAGCTCTTAAGATACATTGCGGACAAATTCTGAGTTTCGGGCGTACCCTCAAACATTACATGAATGGGTATCTTTTACAAAACTGCTGGCTAACTTGAACCAAGACGCATGCAGGTGAATTGCGACAGTTCGCAGACGAATTTCGTCATCCGATCTTGTCAAATCGCTAAAGGCTCTGGTTTGAGGCTTGTTGCTGTCGTTTGTTTCTGCTCGTCGCTCTAGTGGGACTCGGGTATTAAGATCAGCGACCGTGGCGAGCGCGCTACAAATATAACTTTTCTTCGTCTTACTCACCCGCAGTTCAGGCTCATACCTTTCCCGCTTGTTTCTTTTTTTTCATCTGGACAACAACAAGACAAACAAACAAGCAGTACCATTGGGTCTAACCAGCATAATGCCTGCTTTGTTTTTCCGTGACAAAAGAAAACGCTGCGTGTATTTCGGCGCCGCGCCGATTTTCTGGGAGAGGCAAGGCGAGCACCCAGCCTCCTCAGCCGTCTCCCGGCTAACGAAACAGCGACGAGCCCCAAAATAGAGTGCCAAGCCGCCGCAAAACGAGACAGATTGATCCCCACCGAGATCTCCTTTCTTCTTGCTCATCACTCAAAGTGATCAAGCCGAACGAGTAAGCATCGCCATTGTAAAAGGAGCCTCGACTCAACTTCCCGGATAATGTCTCGAGAAAATTTCGTGACCGGCCCAAAGCTTTAATTCGTCCTTTCTCAGCGTGATCCCGCAAATCCTCACTAAACATAGGCCCTCCCTGAATTCAGGCCCTCATGCCAAATTATTTGCTCATGCTCTCATCAAACTTACGCACCTTACCAAACTTATACCCTCACGGAACTCATATCATTACCAAACTCATACGAACTCACCGACCTCATGATATCACCAAAGCGATGAACTCAACATTCTCACGCCCCTCACTCAACTTTACATCATTAGTATTTGAGGCCTACGAACCGACTCGTCCTCAACCATCTGTGCCTACAAGTCGCTTTGTCTGCAGAGCCGCGCGAGCAGCTGTGCAGTCGAGGCATAATGAAATGCACGAATGTCACACTTGTTGCATTGGTCGCTGCCGTACATTAAGGAGGCGCAAAGTACAGTATAATTATGTAAACGTTTAAACAAAGAGGTAATTTTCGCTAAATTTGTTTCGTGCTCTGGGTCAGATCCTTAGCCTTTGTGTTTGCAAAATTTATACGCTCCATATTAAAAAGGAATTGAACTAATGTAAAACGAATCGCACGAACAAGTCTTGTAATTAAGGCTCGTCAAGAACACTTCCATTAAAAGTGCGGCCTTATGGTACCCATCCGTTTTATATAAAATACTGATTGTAACACATGCCCCATTTAATTACAAGGCATAATGTTTTCAATAGATATCAACTTAAGTCGAAACGTTTCCACGTTAAAGCGAACAACAGCGCTATAAGTCATTTTCTTATAAATAATAGCGAAGAAAGGAAGGTCGACTGTTATGGTTTTGCTTTTTTATTTTTTTTTATTAAAATGAAATGTATCCTTGGTCCACGGCGTCATTTTCTTTTAAAATCTGATGTGAAATTTACCAAATTTCCGTTTTGCTAGTGACTGTTGAGACTGATAAGATCTTGTTTTGAGTCTGCATAAATCAAATGCGCTATATATCTGCACATTGTGTAAAATTGCGGTAGGGTGTCTTGCAACACCAATATCTGAGATTAATGTACTATGTTCCAATGTTCGTTTTTTTTTTTTTTCGCTTCTGCTTTTAATGCAAGAGCTGAGACGGAGTAGTTTCAATTTATTTTAGCCGCCCGGTGCACGTCATCTCTTCGACCTCCCTCCATCTCAAGCTATATATTATATTAAGAAACCCAAAAAAGAAATTCAGACATAGTTCCACGTGAAAACATGTAACGAATACACAGAAAATTTATTTACTCGCTAGTGTCGGCATATAGCACCACTACGGCGTCGTTTCAGCACGCTCGCTCGGTGACAATATTTCTTAGACATTCGTTTTTTTTTTGAACGTATTAAACACATTCTTCCAGCCTAAAAAAAACAAAAAAAAAAACAAACAAAAAAAAACATGGGACGATAGATAGCTTTTTTCCTTCGCTCATGAAGCGTGAAGTTTGTTCAAACTACGAGATGAACAACAAGAAAAAAAAAAAAAATGTCGAGGCGCGAAGCTATTTTGTGAGAGAAGAACTCACGTGGAAGATGTTGATGGACTTTCGGAACTCCTCAGGCCGCATCTTGCTGCGCGAGAGGTAGTTGACGAGGGTGAACTCGAGCAGGGCGCCGAAGACCATGACGGAGCAGGCGCCGATCCAGACGTCGATGGCCTTGACGTAAGAGACCGGGGGAAGTTGGGTGCGCACGCCGGACGCCACGGTGGTCATGGTGAGCAGGGTGGTGACGCCGAGGGTGACGCGGGCCGGCGTGGCGTCCACGTTGAGCCAGAAGGACACCCACGAGATCATCACGATCAGGAACGTGGGCAAGTACGTTTGGATCAGGTGGTAGCCGTTCTGGCGCTCCAGCGTGAACGTTACGTTCAGGAAGCTGAACACCCCTGCGATGACAGCCGAGGGAAGGACGCATCAGGGGGTTGTGGGGTGAGGGGCGGGTGCGTACATATACCATACGTGCATAGAAGTCAAGTCATTCAAGACATCAGCGTCGTCCTGTGGGACACGGCTGAAGGCAATAGATGCTTGACGAAGTCACGCCACCCTTTCAAGTACAGTGGCACGATATACGCGAGGAAAATTAAAATACACTGCAAAAACAGATGGCAACGAAATCAAAACCGGAGAGAGAAAGCATGTCAGAGAGGTTGCTGAAATGTGACCTACACCGCGTACTTGCTATCTTTCGTTACGCTTTTTGTGTATTGAAGGTATCCTCAGTTACTCTCTCCCATCACGCCTCCGTTCTATGAAGAGGAAGCTAAAAATAATACAATATGTGTCGATAAAACTATAAAAAAACAGAAGTTGATAATTTGTTGTAGAACATGTTGGCAAGGTTTATAATAAGCGACAGCATAAAAAAAAAATAAAAACATATGACAAAAATGACAATTTAATATCGCCCTAAGAAAGGCTAGTCTCTACGAAGGTGCCATCTTATGCCTACCAAGATATAGCACAGCCTGATTTGTATTTCCCGGGGGGGGGGGGGGGGGGGGGGGCAATACAAATCAGGCTGTGCTATATCTTGGTAGGCATAAGATGGCACCTTCGTAGAGACTAGCCTTTCTTAGGGCGATATTAAATTGTCATTTTTGTCATATGTTTTTTTATGCTGTCGCTTATTATAAACCTTGCCAACAAATTATCTACTTCTGTTTTTTGAACTCAATTGCGTGCAAATAGCTACGATTTTTTTTGGAGGGGGCGGGCCCTCCAAGAAAAAAAAATCGTAGCTACTTGAACGCAATCGAGTCGATATCGCTTTCGAAGTAGAATTTGCGGGCAGAGGAAGTTTAACAATGGGAGTCGAATGCGATCAATACCATGCACTACATGCTGCCAGACCACGACCAACGATCATAGGACTAAATTTGAAATTGGTATGTAGGTGTATTGGGAGTGAATGACGAAAAAACGCTTGAGGCCTCGCGAAATGTAAATAAACAAAATGCAGCACTAGCAGTTTGACCGAGAAAATTTATAGAATGTGTTACAGCGGAAACCCCAGGGCTAGGCTACGGGGCCACGGCTGTGCACCTGCGACAATACCAGTTACGAGAAGTTATTAATATGGCACGAAAAAAAAAAAACGTATTTCTGGATAGCTTCCGGACAGAAAATTTTACCCAAGCAGTGAGGAAGGGATTGTACTATCGAGCCTAATAGATGAATGTTAAAATAACTGTAAAGGTACACAAAAATGTAGGCTACCTTCGAGTCACATTTGCAGCTCCTTCTAAGTGAGAAATGGAGGCTGCCTGCTCGCTACCCACCTGTGTCGATGGCTCTGTTGAATTGACCGTATGAGTGATGAACCAAATCGAATTCTGGCATTTCAATAGGATGCTCGATGACAATCGGGTCCTTATCTTGCCAGGAAATCGCAGTTTGGTCTATCGTTTGAGCATCTGGAAAGACAATCAGCAACCATCCATTGCTACAGGGCTCGCAGTGGAAAGCAATACGTTGACCGTGAAAGTTTGGAAACGAAGGTCCAGCTTTGATCCCGTCTTTGACTTTACTGGACTGTTCGGCTATAGGAAATCACGTCACGTTCATTTAAAAAAACGTTAATAGTACTTCTACAATTAGAAGAAAAATGAAAATTTTATGTCAGTAATTTTTTTAGCTTTTCGTTCACGAAGTTTGCAAAGGTTATTACAATAATAACCAAGAGAGAAAGCCACAAGCATTTTAGAGGGACCATGAAACGATATCGGGTTGGAATGTTCATGACTTTACAGAGGCGTACTGGTCAGAGTCTGGTCCAAGAATACTCGCAAGGACCGCCACTGATTCAGAAGCTTCTTTGTCGCGGTGAAACTGCGAGGACAAAAGGGGACTATTTCTTTCAGTCTTACCTTTGCAAAGCTTGATGGTGTAATTATGAGATCGAAACCACCTGCGTGACGACAAGCGAGCGCGGCTCATGGATTGGACACGAGAACGACGTGAGCACTCGACTTGGGCTCGTAAGAATCAATGCCTCGGCGGACACTCGGGTAACGGCTCAGGTTGTGGCTCGTGTCCAACCGCTGCGGTGATGAGAATAGCCGAACTCTAAAGGCCGGTTCAGACGCTTGCATTTGAGTGCGTTTGACTGCGTCGCGTCGAGAACCGAAAGCGAGTCACCGGCACATTTGTGCTTCGTATGATGTGTGGAATCCAATTCAAGGAATCATTTTGGCACGCGATATAAGCAGCAGGGATTTCCTAGTTTCTCGGAGTCAAACGCAGTCAAACTCAACTGTCTAAACCAGGCTTAACAATGCCTGGAGCCCAGCAAGCGTTTTTACTTTGCCAGCTCCAGCGCGTGGCTATGATAACGTTGGCGGCATAGGGTAGGCACCAGGCCACGTGGCCGCTTGTTCTGGCTCCGAGTTGAGGGGATGAACGGTGGTCATGTTTCTCGAATTTTTGGCCGACTGTCATTGCTTAGAAAGAAAATCTAAAGTAAGTTTATTTTGTTACCAACGTTAGGGAGTTATTCTCTGTAGTGTTCAGCGAAAGAAGAAAAGTCGCTTCATGGCTCCTTTATTATAAATATAACAAAAATAAAAACACACGTTTAAACAAAAAGTAAGGCCGAAATCACAAAATTCTTTCGTTAAATACGTCATGGAGATCCCAAGCCAGACCGGGAGTATTTCCGACGCTGCGGACAACGCAGCTGGAGCGAGAGGCGTGTGAACACTCGACGCGGAAATGTGGCTTTGACAAGAAGCCCCAACAACCGTGAGGCGAAATGAACTTGGCAGCTTGCAAACTCCGCAGCAGCTGCTGTATCTCAGATGTTGTTTCAAAAAATGTTTTCAAACGTTTTTTTTTTTTTTTTTTTTTTTTTCTGTTCACCTTGAAGGCTGAGACGTTAAGAAGATGGCCGCCGCTTTTTAGGAAGACGGCTTTGAAGTTAGTTCGGGGCAAAAGCCACCGACAGAATAAGAAGACCAAGGAAAGTTTTAGTTGGTTCCGCCTCCAGCCTTTACGGAGAGAAAATGAGGGAGTGGAAGAGACGAGAGCGTGCGGTGATGTCACCGGACCAAGCTCTGATTGGAAGGAGAGTTGTTGAGCCCGATTCACATGGTGCGATTTCACTTGCCATTTCGCAGTTACCACGTCACTCGTGCAGCGAAACGAGCGTGGTGGAAGCTCCAGTGCTCAACGCAGCAGCTGCGATATTGCAAGAAAATTAGTACCATCTGAATCAGGCTTTAGACGCAAGGGCTAACCCCATTTTTATCTACCCAATGTTTCCCTCCAATCAGGCCAAACGAGAGCGTCTTCAGCTCTTCGCGCATGGTTTGTCGTTCGAACACCGGACGCCGGCGTTCGGCGTTTGAGGTTCGAACGCCAGTTCCTGGGCGAGGAGCAGACGACGCACTTGTTCGCTCTGATTGGAGGGAGGCGGTGGGTAGAGACAAAGGGAACTAGCCTTCGCGTTTACCTGCACTATCCCTTCAATCAGAGCTCGGCGCTTTGACGTCACCACCCGCTCCAACCTCCTCCTCTCCCCCAGTATCTCTTTGTATAATAAAAAAAAAAGGAAGAAAGAAAAGGTCATCGTCTTGTAAGCCATTGGACGTGCACCACCAGTCAAAGTACGTCTGCAGGCAACGACCACGTGCTGAAAGCGGGTCATCGGAAAGAAACGCCCTGCCGCCCTTTTTATCCTGTCATTGACTACAACCCACTGGGATGCACGGAGCGCCGCGGACTCACACGGCCCGAGCAGGATGTGGCAGCGCTGCGTGTCCAACGGGAAGTGCCTGAAGGACATGAAGCAGGCGAGCCGGAGTGTGAGCCGCATGCTGAAGAGCACCTCTCCGTCGGGGCCGATCTTAACCAGCTTGTTGAGCACGGTCACGTGGTGGAACTTGGCGTCCTTCACGTTGCGAAAGAACAGGTCCGGCTTCCAGATCTTGGACATGATGTCCTCGCCGTTGATGGTCACCGTGCTGCTCACGCCGTGCTGGCTTAGGTTGAGGCGCCGGTCGCGCCACGACTGCCGCAGGTAGATGTCCATCCCGTACTCCTACCATGCGAAGATCCGGACAAGGAATTATTTAAAAGAAGCCGTGCAACTGTGTTCGCCCCCCCCCCCCCCCCCCCCCCCACACACACACACTTTCGGTAAATACCACTTAGAAACAACGCTCAAAACGGCGGGAACACTGCTAATACGTCATACAGAAGACAATTTGCTGCAAACACTGTTCGAGGTGTGTTCCCAAGAAGCACAGATTTAACCAATTATTGGCCAATGGCTGGCAATGGTTCTTTGGCTAGTGGACAGACAGTGGCCAGCCATTGGCCAATGACCGGCCTTTTTCTAGTCATTAGCCCATGACCACTGGCCATCAGCCTTCGGACAAACATTGGCCGATGAATGGCCACTCTTTGGCCATTGGCCAAAAGACCATCGCCAGCCATTCGCCAACGCTTGGCCAAAATCTGTGCTCCTCTGGGTTTCTTTCTTGCTTCACAATACCGTCACGTTGGTTATACAAAAAAGACTGTCTGAAGACACGTTCTGAAGACAGTATTTTTTTTTGCAGCGAACGCAGTATCTTTTGTATGATGTAGGAGCCTTGGCCACGCTGCTTACACACCATACAAAAGACAGTTTGCATACAGATTCGAACGGAAGTCACCACGAGATCCGTGCTTCGAAAGCCGCATGGCAATGAGTTCAAGGGGGAAACTTGGCACGTTGCATTCCAATCACGGAGGCTGCGGTGACTCTTGTTCTTAGACTGTCTTTTGTGTGATGCATGATCCGTGTAACCCCGGCTTTAAGGTTCACCACCTACGAAACGCGCATTCGTTTTTAACTTAGAAAACGTTATTGGCAAAAGTAACTTGGAAAATACCGGAAGACGCAAGAACGAGAAACAAAATGCAAACGGAAAAGCGTTACGACAGAGGGAACGATCTTACCACGCAGATAGAGTAGGGATTGGCGTCAGAAGTCCCGGTATGAGTCTCGGTAGCATTAAAATCGGTTCAAACATACATCGCAGCGCAAATTCAGCGCTATGGGAACACTGCTGACTCGGTGCTGACCTGAACTCAACTCAGCGCTGATGCAGAGCAGTATCATTCCTATATTGCTAATCTAGTGAAGATAATTTATATTGCTATATCCAATGTTGATTAAGAGAGCTGAGGTAGCACTGGTCGTGTATATGTGAACAAGCCCTTAATCATTCAGCGCCCAACCCTTGACCCACAGGGCGGAACGGATGTTATTTAACTCAAGAGACGCTTTTCTGGCGATAATATCCGGGAAGAAAGTATTACACGTTATTGGCCTGCGAAGCCCCAGGGAACCCCTGCGGTGACCGCGCTTGCGGAGCTTCTGGCCGCTGGCGTTTCCGGCGGCGGTGGCGACTGTGGTCATTCTTTCGCCTCGGCTGTTTCCGAGTTGGGGCGCGGGGTTTCCTGGCTGGGCCTTTCATTACGTGGCACGCTGTTGACTCTGGACCGAAGCCCCGGGCACGTAACGACCAGTGTGGGAAGCACCGCGTGTCTCGGTTTCTTATCTGTCCGACGGCAAACTTCATCCGAAAGCCTCCTGTACAAGGTCTCGCGCGCCGGAACAGCTGCCGGCTGCGTTTCTCTGCCGCGGTATGATTTAAAAGGCGAATAATTTTCCACAGTCAGGCTCCATGACACGACGTACGTTGGTGGGGGATGTGGTTAAGGGGAATCCGGCTTTATCTTCACGAGGTTGTCCGCTGAAGGCAACGTGTTTGAGCTCGTCGTATACGACTGTTCTCTCACAACAGGAATGATTGTGCAACGGAACTATCTTCAGGAGCTTCGAATTGGCTTATGAAGTTATGGTTAATAATTATTAACCTTAAGTTATAGTTTAAAAATATATCAAATTTTTGTCATTGTTAGATAAAAAACAAACAAAAAAACTTGTCTTAATCATTTTGATAAACTCTTGGAGCACAGAACGTGTTCTGCGAGGATTGGGCAGGCGTGATGTTTAGTTGTGCTTGGCTACTGGGAACATTGGGTGGTTTGAAATACACTTGCACACACGACACACTCATGTGTCATCCGGGTTTATCAGAATGATCAAAAAAAGTTAAAATTTTTCCCGCAGTAAAGTGTGTGAGGAGCATGCTTTAATGGTAAGTTTCCACGGGATCTGGAAATATTTTTCTATAGACTACATCTTACTCCGCGAAACTCCCATGCCCTTAGCTCCGACAGATTTCGCGTATTTGGAACGGCTGGGCGCGCACCAGCCTGGGAGCTTTCCCCTTTCACTTAGAAGGGGTGGCAGCCGTCATCTATTGTCGTGCAAACCCGTCAAGAAAGCCAGCTGTCTCTACTGCCTCGGCGAGTCTGGTGTCTCGGCGCGTCTGAGGCAGCCCTCCCACGTGGCGTAGCGCAAAGGCGTGCCAGCGTCTTTGCGCTACGCAAAGACTTCTAGGATGACCTCGAGAACGACCTTGAGGACGACGCCTAGAGGCACCATTTGTCAGCACCATTTGTTGCTGACTAACGCGCCCGATATTGCAGCTACAACGACATATTAGTTTTAAAGCGAGCGGCGCTCACTCACCGGGGCACCGCCATGTTTCCCCGCGTCCCATCCCTTCCGGGCCAGTCACGTTATTTCAAAATCTCTCTCGTACTGCGGCTAACTTTAGCCGCAGTTAGCGCTTCGAGCAAACGGGCCCAGATATTCGAAATGACATATTGTTCTGCCGGGTTGAAAACGTGTACTTTGTGATCTCCATTATTTGATTAGAAGCACCCAATTATAAACTGCATACTTCCTCGATCCACCAAGTTTGAAAAAAAAAGAAAAAAAAAGAAACCATTCTCCTGTAGGAGACTTAGGTTCCACGATCTTCTTGGAAGAAAACTCGTAGAGACAAATGGCACAATTAGGAAGGGAGGAAAAAATAGTAGCGGTTACAAGTAATTTTAGTACTTTCAGAAGTAATCAAATTAATATTTTAATTAATTCATAATAAATGTATTCAACCAATTACAAAATAAAAAAAAAGAAATCAATTTCTTGATGTGAGTACGGTACGTCTGATTTTGCGTAACCAGTCGAGACCTAAACAAGACACGCAGTATTAAAAAAAAGATCTGATGATAAGCAAAAGAAACTTCGCTTCTAGAGAAAGCTTTCTATATTCGTTGGCACTTCGGCGCACGCGCTGTCAAAGCACGACAGAAGGCAGCGAGCATGTTGCGGAAGCGGAGCTTCTGCAATTTTTATGTTGGAACAAGCTTTAAGTGTCTTACGTGTCACTGCCGGTGGACGCCGCCTTTATATTATTTAGGTCCACGACGACAAAACGCAATAAACGTTTGTTAACTCCTGTACGCGATTCACCTCAAAATTAACGATTTATAGTTCCGCGTTCTTTATTACAGCGGGTGTATAAAAAAAAAAGAAAAAAAACAAAAACGTAAAAAAAATATCAACAAGTACAGAAAAGAGTGTGAACCCCAATGCTCTTAGCGAGTTGAAACAATCTCTAAAAAATTATCCCGATGTTCAGAAATCGTTTCTGTTTTTGAGCGCGTGTCCAAAAAGCGAAACGGAAACAACCGATCACCGCCGCGTCCTTTCTCTTAATGCTGCTAGCGTGATAACGTATACTCAGTTGTCCCACTCTTGCGGTCGTGCTTTAAAAAAATACAAACAAACAAAAACATAATTTTTGTTTCCCCGTTTTTTTCCGCGAGCTTCCCCAATAGGCGGACTAAAGTGCGGTGGCTAACGTAATACCAAACCAAAAACCGAAAAGACCTATCTCAAAGTGCGTTACGTTGAATAATACTGTTTCACTTGTAAGATAGAAGTCGTTTGGATTGTAAAAGCCTCGACAGTTTGCCAAGTTCGTCGTTTTTGAAGTGTTGTTTTCTTCGTGGAATTGGATCGACATAATTTTTGTTCGTCTTTGTTCGTTTAAAACTTTTGAAGAAGTTTCGTGTGCGTAGATTCGTTCTCGTTTAAACAGAGGGGGGAAGATCAAAACATCACATTTTGTCCGGCCGTTTCCGTTCTGAAAAAGGGTCTTATCTCGGTCAGCAGCGTTTTGAACTGGGTACGCCCTGACGGCGACGGAAGTTCCCAAGTGGCAGTGCCATTCTCAACGCACGCATGCATGGAATGTCCCTAGCGTTCCGTGCCACAGGAAAGGCACCGATACTGCAGCTCGAAACGATGCATAAGAACATCTCTCGACCGTTGTTCTACTGGCGCACTTGCGGGGAACGCGATATCAGCTCGATAGGTTCAAACTGGGGCACTTGACCAGATTTGAGAGAAAGCGAAACACAACAGCTGTCCCACCAGAAAAGTGTTTGCGTCTATAGTCACTGATCGAATTAGACCGACAGAGAGATGTTTCAGTCGTTCCGCCTCCACCTTGAGCTTTGTGTGCAACTTCGAAAACACTGAAGGGTCTCGTCAGTTTCGGGCGTGCACACGCTGCCAATGCACGAAGGAAGTCAATGCATGGCAGAAGGCAATGCGCGACGGGGGCAACGAGCATTTGCTGGGCGCCGGAATTTTGAAAGAAACGCCCTGCGGTTTCATCCGATCGGTCACTTAGAAATCACCACATTGTGTTTAGAATTTCTAACGCTGCCCATATGTACACCCGCCGGCGATATGAAGGTGAACGCCGGACCGTTGACCGCTCCGTGCTATCAGCGCCATGACGGGACTACCGTGGCGAGTTGCTTTCTTAACTCGCGCTTCGCCGAGATTAAGCGCTTGTATCGAGCTCTGTTCTCAACTCTGCTGCTACTCCCCGCAGAAAGCGCGAGGATTGGGAAAGGGGTCTTTCAGATGCTATTAGTAGACAATCTGATTCAGTAGTTTTTTTGTTGTGATATGTGCTAAACCGGAAGGCTTGCGGAACAAATCAAAAAGTAACTTACACTCTCCGCTTCTTAAAAAGAACTGTCATTAGCGTTCGCAGTTATTAGCGTTCGCTCACGGATGAAGAAAGCGGTTGAGTCACTGATAAACCATGCCGAGCAAAGTCCGCTCTAGTTCACGTGCAATGTGCAGATCATTTGCCGGCAATGACGCGGGCACGGCGCCCACAAAAAAGCGATGCCGAAATCGAAACCCAGTTCCACACTTTCTGCAGAGAGTAGCAGCAGAGTTGAGAACAGCGCTCGGTCCAAGCGCTTAATCTCGGAGAAGCGCGCGATAAGAAATCGAGCCGCCACGGCAGCCGCGTCATGGTGCTGATAGCACGGACCGGTCGACGGTCCGGCGTTCACCTTCATATCACCGGCGGGTGTACATGACGGATTCGAGTTTTTATAACCTTGCTACTGTTTGTCCATATCGTCAAATGTCCCGCGTTAAGTGATGAATAAAACGTACGATTTCGTGTACGGCGTATTACGTTGCCCCGCAGATTCTATATTTTGCCGACAATTTTCGCTCTGATAACATCTCTTCTTTTCGTTTGTGAACTGTGCGTGTTGTGTTTTTCAGTATTAATTCTATGAGACCCGTGACTATGGTGTTGGGCTTATAAAACTTTGCCAGACGTTAATTTTAAAGATGCTATTAGAGTTTGCGCGCACCAGCTGATTTCTCAAGCTCATATTGGGAAGTTTTACCATCATGAGGTACAGTACCATGTACTTTACTGTAAACGACTTATTTTTTTTGCGGGCTCAGTATTTCGCGGTTTAGGTCAAAGCTGAAGTTTTAGAGAGAATTCGCGGGTTTTAGTTTCTTTTTTTTTTTTTTTTTTTTTTTGTGACGCGGTGGGATCTCAATATAGATTCTTATCTGTTAACATTTTACCGAAATGGTTCGCGGGACCTATTTTTCGCGAATTGTAGGCGATTCGCGAAATTCACGAAAGTGAGATCCTCGAGAAAATTAAGTCCTTTACAGTATATTGTATTCTTCTGTGTTTATTTACTCCTAGAGAAACCCAGAGTATCGTTATAAAGTTTTCTAAGTTAACGAACGAGGCTTCATTAAAATCTTACTTAATGTCAAATCTACGAGCGGTTTCAGATTTGGTTAATTTGGTTCAAATAAGCTACCCAATTGCATTAAATTAGTTCGCTAGATTTGTCTGGAACAGGCTATGTTCCCCATAATTTTAGAAAACGTAAATATGTATCTTTTAAAACTCTTAGTAAAATATATTCTACCCGTAGGTAAATTTGGGTTTCAAGACGCTTTAAGCAATTGTATTGCACACGAAAAGTTTCCAGGGAAGCAAGGCAACAAGGGATGCTGAAGGTCTTTTTTTGTGCTGAGTACGTTATGATAGAAGTGCAGAGTAAGCAAATGCCAAGCACGTGCGGCCATAACAAAACGGTTTTTACCAATTATTTTTTCCCTTGTTTACCGGAAAAATAGCTGAGGAACAATTTATTGTTTTGTGTTTATTCCAGGCAACCGCTTAACCTAATCTAAAATTACATGTGTTTCACGAAGTAGCCAATATCCAGTTAACTGAGAAGAGATAATTAGCGTTGACTGCATACATGCGACAAATGTTTTAACTTGATGCGACCGCGCAAACCGACATGTAAAGCTCAGTACAACATAGCATTAACACGATGTAAGGCTAATTTTATCGGGTTGATACTCGATGGTTGTCGGCCTAAAGCGTTATACGTGTTAAGCTCTTAACCTTAGGAATCGCATCTTACCATGTTGTTAGCGTTGATGGGCCCGATGCTGTTGACGTATATGTTCACCTTGACATAGGTTGGCATCCCTGAAAAGAAAGACAAAGTTATCGCTAAAAAAAAGTCAAAGCTGCGTAAAAAAAAAATAAAAAAATAAACGAGTTGTAGTTTTTGCGGCAAAGACGTGCGGAAATACTCCAAAGGGTAGGGCGTTTCTTTTCTTTTTAATTAGCCGTAGTTGTCTTCTTCTCACGCGCTGTTTGATGTTGTGCCTCAAGGTTTCCGGAGTTGTAGGCCTCCAAGTGCCTGACACATGCACATGTACGGTGCGTGGAACGTGTGTTTAGAGAGTTTGAGGGAACCGTCTTTGCACATCCGATACGATACGATGGGCCCTCCGGTACCCACTGCGCATGTGCGAGTCTTCTGTGATAGCGCATACGCAGTTCATACGGGAGGGCCCACCGTATATGGATCGGAAAGACGGTTCCCTAAAACTCTCTTTCGACTGGTGTGTTCACTGTCCTAACCCGCCCATGCGTCGAAAGGGGCCCCGAAGGAGTAAAAAATGACGTCACACAAGCCGCCGTGTCATACTGTCGGATGTCGCGATCCTGGCGGTTGGCGCTAGGATTCCCGGCGAAATAGTACGAGCGAACGCGTGTGTCGCTGTTGTCGCGGCGTCCCATCTCCTGACTGCCAAAGTTTCCGTGAACTATCAAGCTGGAGAGCGACCTGTCGTAGAACAGGCGTCTGTCACATAGTGCCGCGCGCGCAGCTAGCCAAGTAGGCAGCGCGCGCGTGGCCTAACGGTTATCGTACCTGCCTCCCACGGGAAAAGCCAGGGTTCGATTCCTGGGAGCGGCATGTCTTTTGGTTTATTCCTGGAGACTAGTATTCTGGTAAATTCGAGAACCGTCTTGGCCGATTCCAGGTTAGAATGTTCGACACGCCGAACCTCGTACGCCGATTGTTCCAGAAGCCCACGCGTGGACAAAAGCGGCTCCGCGTGGCAAGCCGCGGTCAGTTTCGCCCCAGCGTTTGACTCTGCTGTCACGCCGACTTCGACGCCCGCGACGCTCTACTTTCTTCTGTTCCCTTTTTATTTTTGGGCATAAGTTCGCCCCATTAAACGTTTAGTTTCTTCAGTTGTTATCGCCTCATCACTTGCCATTCGTGACATTTTGGTGGAGTTGAGGGGTATCGCATTCTATGCCCGTGGAGCGTACCTCTCCGAAGACATTCCGGCCAAGTGAGGCGCTAAACCCCGGAAGGCTACCCATCGCAGAAGACACCGACGCCCGAGCAAGCCGCCGTACCGAAATCCACCTCCCGGAATCCGGACCCCTGCTGCACAAGCCGAAGGAGAAGATCCCGACAACGACCACCCCGCCCGTCATCGTCCTGCCCGTCGCTCCGCGAACGCCTTCTCCCTTCCTCGGCGAGACCTACGAGGACGTCGAAGACAGGATTAACCAGTAAGAACGCGTGGCTCGCCACAACGGGTAGAGTGACGAACAGCGCCAACAGAACCTCTATTTCTCACTTGAAGGGACTGCAAGGCGCTGGTTCGAAAACCGCGAAGCTTTCTTGACTTCATGGGAGCCTCTCCAGTCGTGCTGGCTAGGAAGAAGGACGGAACGCTTAGGTTCTGCGTTGACTACCGGCAGCTGAACGCGGTGACGAAGAAAGATGTCTACCCACTTCCCCGCATCGACGACACTCTAGAACGGCTGCGCCACTCTCGATATTTCTCATCGATGGACTTAAAGAACGGCTACTGGCAGATTGAAGTCGACGAACGGGACCGAGAGAAGACAGCTTTCGTCACGCCAGATGGCCTGTACGAGTTCAAGGTGATGCCTTTCGGCCTATGCACGGCGCCGGCAACATTCCAGCGTGTCATGGACACAGTACTGGCAGGGCTGAAGTGGCAGAGCTGTCTCGGCTACCTTGACGACGTCGTAGTGTTTTCAAGTGATTTCGACGAGCACTTCAGACGACTCCGAGCTGTTCTTCATGCCATTTAGAGCGCCGGACTCACACTCAAGCCGTCAAAGTGCCGGTTCGCCTATGACGAACTGAAGTTCCTAGGCCACGTGGTTAGTAACGAAGGTGTCCGCCCAGACCCCGAGAAGACTCGCGCCGTCGCGGCATTTCCAGCGCCGACAGACAAGAAGGCCGTGCGAAGACTCCTTGGACGCTGTGCCTATTATCGACGCTTAGTTCGGGATTTCGCAAGGATTTCCGCACCACTTACAAACCTCACGAAGGACACCGAGAACTTCGAATGGGACGAGGAGCAGCAGAAGGCGTTCGACGAGCTGAAACGGCGACTCCAGACTCCTCCTGTGCTTGGACATTTCGATCAGGATGCGGAAACAGAAATTCACACGGATGCAAGTAACGCGGTGCTGGGCGCAGTACTGGTTCAAGTGCAAGAAGGCATCGAGCGGGTCATCGCCTACGCAAGTCAGACATTGTCCCAGGCGGAGAAAAATTAATCCACGACTAAGAAAGAATGCCTTGCGGTCGTCTGGGCAATTACGAAGTTTCGTCCGTACTTGTACCGGAGCCCGTTCCGTGTAGTCACGGACCACCACTCGCTCTGCTGGCTTGCGAAGCTGAAGGACCCGTCATTACGCCTCGCTCGATGGAGTATCCGACTACAAAAGCTCACCATGACAGTGGTCTACAAGTCAGGCCGCAAGCACAGCGACGCCGACTGCCTGTCCAGAGCCCCCGTGGACACCCCTTCCGGCTGCAGCGACGACAATGACGATGAGTGCTTCCTAGGAGCAGTGAACGCCGACGACATGGCACGACGTCAACGGGACGATCCTGAGCTGCACGCATTAATCGAGCACCTGGAAGGGGCCGGGAGTACCGTGCCACGTGTCTTCTCACGGGTACTGCCGACCTTCGCCATTCGACAAGGTGTACTCTACAAAGAGAACTTCGGCGACAACAACACACTGTGGTTGCTGGTAATGCCGATCGACCTTCGGGAGGAGATCTTTCAAGCATGTCCCGATGACCCGTCGTCGGGACACCTCGGTTACAGCCGAACACTGGCCCGTATTCGTAAAAAGTATTACTGGCCAAAGCTCCCCAAAGCCGTCCACCTCTACACCCGATTGTGCCACAAATGCCAGCGATGTAAGAAACTGCCGACGAAGCTGGCAGGTCTCCTGCAGCCGATTGCTCCCCCGACCGCACCGTTCCAGCAGATTGGAATGGACCTACTTGGTCCTTTTCCGCCGTCAACGTCGGGAGACCGCTGGATAATCGTCGCCACAGATTATCTCGCGCGGTACGCCGAAACGAAAGCTCTTCCTTCAGGGACTGCTGTGGAAGTCGCCAAGTTTTTCGTCGAGTCAATCGTCCTCCGGCACGACGCTCCCGAAGTTCTGATTACAGATCGCGGATCATCGTTCATGGCACAGATGACCCAAGAAATCCTCCGGCTCAGCCACACCAGGCATCGTCGTACCACAGCGTACCACCCGCAGACCAACGGGCTGACGGAGCGACTCAACAGGACAATCGCCGACATGATCTCTATGTACGTCGACGTAGAGCACAAGACGTGGGACGAGGTGTTGCCCTACGTCACGTTCGCCTACAATACGGTGGTTCAAGGGACCATTGGATTCTCACCTTTCCACCTGGTACATGGTCGGAAGGTAACGACCATGCTGGACGCAATGCTGCCCCATGAGCCATCTAACAATGAGAGCGAGGACGCCCAGGCGGTTGCTCAACGCGCCGAAGAAGTCCGCCAGCTCGTCCGACTAATGATTCAAGACCAGCAACGCGTCGACGCGGGCCGCTACAACCTTCTTCGCAGGGACGTTCACTTCCAGCCCGGAGACAGGTTGTGGATGTGGACGCCCATCCGTCGTCGCGGCCTCAGTGAGAAACTGCTGAAGCGGTACTTTGGACCATACAAGGTACTTCGTCGCCTCGGTGAGTTAAACTACGAAGTGATGCCCGACGGAACACGAACATCGTCACGCCACCCACCACGACCTGAGGTCGTCCACGTCGTGCGCCTGAAGCCGTACTACGCTCGATAGGGCTGTGGACCTTATGTGCTCCAAAAGACTCTTTACTTATAGTTCGTTTTTTTATTTTGTTTGTTTTGCGTTGCATTGGGGCGATGCAGCTTTTAAAGGGGGGAGAAATGCCGCGCGCGCAGCTGGCCAAGTAGGCAGCGCGCGCGTGGCCTAATGGCTTTTTGCGTGGGAGCCAGGTATACCTGGCTTCCACGCAAAAAGCCAGGGTTCGATTCCTGGGAGCGGCGCGTCCTTTTTGTTTATTCCTGGAGACTAGTATTCTGGTAAGTTCGAGAACCGCCTTGGCCGATTCGAGGTAAGAATGTTCGACACGCCGAACCCTCTACGCCGATTGTTCCAGAAGCCCGCGCGTGTAAAAAAGCGGCTCCGTGTAGCAAGCCGCGGTCAGTTTCGCCCCAGCGTTCGACCCTGCTGTCACGCCGACTTCGACGCCCGCGACACTCTGCTTTCTTCTGTTCCCTTTTTATTTTTGGGCAAAAGTTCGCCCCATTAAACGTTTAGTTTCTTTAGTTGTTATCGCCTCATCACTTGTCATTCGTGACAATACACAACAGCTGTTGGGACACCGCCAGGATCGGGACAGGCGACAATATGACACTCCTATGACGTCATCAGAGACCATTTGGACGCGGTAAACACACTAGTCGGAGACTCGTTTTAGGCCCGATCAACATAGGCTTGGGGATTAGATGTAATTTGGGACTAGCAGATTAATCTCTAAATGTCTTTATTACGTAGCAAAAATATACTTTGCAAAGCGACCGCTATATGTTGCTTATAAACACACTATATGAGCGTGGTAATACTAATAACAGTAAGAGTTCAATAGATTCGGGAAAGCCGTGGAATCGCATAAATGAGAATATCCCATCCCGTCAATGCCTTTCTTGTCGCGTTTATTGATCGCGGGATGAAAATGTTGCACTGATATCAAAATCAGATTGATACCGAGTCCTGACAAAAGAACCTACACGGACACGATTGTAGCTTACGGGAAAGAAAAAAAAATC